AAATTTGATTTGTATGTGCTGTGTTATTTAGCCCTTAGAAAGGTTAAATTTTGGTCTGTTTTCTGAGACTAAATCTGTAAAGTATACATTCCTGAAGGTGTCAGGATACCACTTATCGGCATCTCAAGCATTCATTTATGTTTATGGCCCCAGAAAGAGCCAGTTGGGAATATTACACAGACCTGATCCCTGCTTTCTAGAACGTGTACGGTAAGGCAGAGGTAGTGACACATTAATGTGCTGGATACACATCTGCAAAATCAGAGACTCTGCATATACTAATTGCCCTATCTAGGACCCTAAGGTCTTGTCGTTGTAACTTTGGGTTCTTCTACCACCCTCAGCCCTTGCCTTCCTGGACTGGCTTCGTTTTAGCCAAATTAGAATTAGCTAAACCAATATTTTCATAGTCCTTCTCTCTGTTTTTTCTTTTTTTTTTCCTTGATTTTTCAAAAGTCTGGAAGTAGGGGATTTGGATCAGGGTAATACCGTCATCTGTCACTTCTAATTTCATTCTTTTAACAATTTTTTTGAGTCACGTGGGTACAAGCTTTGATTCTGAGAAATTACACACTTTTAAGTTCGACTTTAGAAAGTAATTTTAGCTCAGCTGTAAACAATTGAAGAGAGTGAATATGAAAGAACCGCCTAATCAGGCTTCCCCTGGGAGCCTGGAGTCATCACTGTCTCATAGCGCCTGATTTTGGAGATAAAGAATTTTGAGGATGTGCTTGTGTGTGTGTTGGAGGCGAGGGGGAGATGAAAGCAATTGGCTCCAAACCAGGCTGTCTAAATCAGCCCTGCTGTTTCCTCCTTTCTCCCACTAACTGATGCCTTCTATCACCCAGAGATGAACTGGGAAGCCTGGTTATCGACAGCTGGGCAATTTGCACGATAGTTTAACGGTTTACAGCCCCCCCGGTATGACTCTGTCAGTGTTTTCAATGGGTCACCTTCTCAGGTGCCAGGACTGACTCCTTTTTCTCTTTTCCCTTCCAGCGTGCAAACGCAAAGAGCAAGAACCAAATAAAGACAGGAACAATTCCCAGAAGAAATCCCGCCTGGTGTTCACTGACCTCCAACGCCGAACACTCTTTGCTATCTTCAAGGAGAACAAACGCCCATCTAAAGAGATGCAGATCACCATTTCCCAGCAGCTGGGCCTGGAGCTCACAACCGTCAGCAACTTCTTCATGAACGCGCGGCGCCGCAGCCTGGAGAAGTGGCAGGACGACCTGAGCACAGGGGGCTCCTCGTCCACCTCCAGCACTTGTACCAAAGCGTGACGGAAGGACCCGGTTGGGCACAAGTCACCTCCGAATGAGGACGACAGATACCAAACGAAAACACAAAGGAAAAAGACACCGGATTCTTAGCTGGGGCCCTTCACTGGTGATTTGAAAGCACAATTCTCTTGAAAAGAAACTTCTATTCTAGCTGTAATCATAGGCCAGGTGTTTTTTTTGTTTGTTTTTAATGGCTATGGAGTCCACGTGCAAGCTGAAAATGAATCTCTTTGAACCGGACATTGTCCTCTGAGCATGCTAAGCGTCCCAGAAAACCAAATGGGGCCTTCCTGGAGCAAGTTTATTTCAGGGTGGTGTCAGCCAAGCTCAGGATTGCTTAAAATGTCAACAGTCTCAGTCTGGGTCCTATGAACCTCTTGCAGTCAGAGTCCCCACAAGTAACAGTGGGAATTTGGCCTGAGTTTGGGCTCCCAAGATGCTATAATAAGAGGAGACTTTAGCAACCAGAATGACCTCATTTGCTTTCCAAGTGCTTAGCCTCATCATACCACAGTACGCCAGAGTTCACAGCCATAACATAAAAAACATCAGATTGATAATTACTGAGCACAAGTTTTAAATATGGAAGTTAAAAAAAAAAAATCCAAGGACCTGTTTTTCCAACTCAGGTTTCTTTTCATTAAATGGTTTAGAAAGCTTTAAGTTGATTCAGTGTACAGTTTTCTTTTCCTTACCTCCTGGAAATCTCTCGTGGTCTTGGATCCATCAAAACAACAAATCAGTTCACTTGAGCTCAAAGTATCAAGCACAACGAAGACAAACAGAGAAGGAAGGAAGGTTCTGGATTCACCGCATCTGGATTTTCAAGACGCCGACTGTGAAGTCATTAGGGAATCGTTGGGAATATGGCTTCGAGCACATTTTGCAGTTTGCTACAAATTCTGTTTGTACGTAATGCAGACGCACACTCAGGAGGCCAATTTAACTGTTACGGTACATGGAGCAAATGCAGCATTTTAAAAGATCTAGATTTTTTTAGATCATTAATATATCCTTCTTAGTTATTAGTCACCTGGTTCCTCCTATTGTACATTCTGACCACCTCGTAATTCATTCTCAGTCTCTGAGATTTGGGTCGTTCCCTCATCCATCCCATCGGTAGGGACATTTTCAGTGTTTTCTAGCAAGAAATAAATAATTCAAACCATCGCCCATGTTACTGTCATCTAGTCCTAAATCTCTTCCATTGTTGAGTCATCCTAGCAAAACAGCTGAATAAAACTGGAGAAAATACAGCACACCAAAGAAGCAGAATTCTGCAAACCAAAGACATTTATTACTTGCCATTTTCTAGCCTAAAAATACTGTGATTACTTTTAGAAATCAGAAAACCTCTGCAATTCCGAATGGCATTCAGCTCTTGCATTTGGCTCACCATCAAGCTGAGTGGACCAGCTACACCAAGGACATTAGCCAAGCCACCCAGGGAGTGGCTTTGCCACGCCAGCTCTGGTTTCTGGCTGTCACCTTCCCACAGCAAGCGGGAGAGCGCCCACGGAACTCTGGAAGATTGCAAAGGTCACAATGTGCATATTTACCAGTGAATGGCCCCAGGTGGGCACCATGGGGGTGTTCAAAGCAAGCCAAAAGCTGCAGTGATTCTTTACAGACACTTGAGACTGACTTTTTTATGAATTATTTAATCGAAACCAAAGAAACTTTTTCTGCACCTACTTCTGCAACAAACAAAACTGTCCCATTAAGATGAATAAATACATAAATCAGTGAAAATCACCACCAAGAAGGAAGCACGCCAGAAAAACAAAAACAAAAACAAAAACAGCGAGACACACTGTGTTTAAACAGACCTCTTGGGACATTTTTTGGAAGCAGATTCTTAAGAAAGGGTTGAGACAAGAATCGAATTAAGGAAGAGCCTCAGTGGCTGCTGCTTCATTTGACAACTCACACAGTAATCTTAAAGTTGAAGATTGTCTTTAATTTGTGCCTATGCAGTTTTCAAAAGAACACGGAACAGAGCAACAGAAACCTCAACAGCTACAATACCAAAGATGAGGATTTCTCACACCTTTTGTTTCAGTTCATTATCTCCTCTTGCCTGGCTAAAATGCTAATAACGCCATTGATCTGTGTAAAGGTAATCAATTTTGTTTCTGAGCAACAAAAGGAAAAGGTCATTTATTTGATTTTATTGTTTCCCTTTAATTTTGTTCTATGGCTTTCTACCCCAACATGGAATCTCTCAAAAGGTTCCGTGGACTCCGAGTTTAAGATGTTGGGATACTGAGGGATTCTCTCCTCTCTGCTCCGTAGAGTGTGGGGAATAATGCTGTCACTTGAATCTTCTTTGCTTATTTTTTAGACTTGGTTCCTTCTGTATTTAGTCTCACCATCAGGGGAGGGAAAGGGAGTGAGGGTCAGGGTTAGGGGTCGTGATGACGCATCCTCACCCGAGCCACAGAACCAAAGAGTTGATAGAGGAATTGACAGCCTCGTCTTCATACGATCACTATATCTAACAGGGCTTCATTTGAGGGGTTGGGGGGTGGGGCAACATGTGAAAATAATTGCCAGTTTCTACTTTTCTATTAGCTTTTTAAAAATCAGCTGTAAAGTTGCATTTCTAAAGAAGATATATATATAATATATGAACACATATATGAATTCAACTTGACATTGGTGATAACCCAAAATTATTGCTGTCCAAATTCATGTCTTGTTTTTGACATTCGTTAAGTATTCAGTTCAGAATTTTGCTCATTTTTCATGCCATTCCAGAGTTCATTTGCCACTGTGGATAATTTGGAGTATTCAGGTTTTAAAAAAAATTCCTGGGAAAGATTGAAAGTCAGGTTTAAGTATTTCAACATTTAAGCTGCTGATAAATAGATCCACGGTGCAAATGAGTTTTATTTGTATTTGGAGTCATCTCCAAACTATGCCTCAACCATTATCAAGGTGGCAAGTGGGATCCATCCAGCAGACCTGGCCTAGAACTGGGCCAGGGCCACTGGGAAGCTCAGTGGTCCATTCCCACCAGTTCTGGAGGTGAGGCCAGCCCAGAACTCGGTTCTCGAGGAGTTTCTCTGTCCCATCAGGGTGTTCCATATTTTCCTCAGTGAGTAGATCCACCAAAGAGACTTCTCCTAGGGAAGTCCAGCTCTCATTACAATGGGTTGATCAGGTTTCCTCAGGGTGGTAATTACCAATTCGTGCAGACAGACCTGTGTGCAGCCACGGCTGGCACTAGGGGGAGGCAGTGCTGTAGGTGTGGGGAGGGGGCAGTGCCTCAGTCCTGGAAAGAGCAGAGTTTGAGGAGGGTCCCAGAGTCCCACCCCTGGGAGCCCATTGTCCATCGGGCACCTCCTTGCTCCCGCCATGTGGGTCTCCCTTTGCAGAGGCAGCAGCCATGGAGCTATGAAAGAATGTGACTCTCCATGGCTTTTGTAATGCATCCTACCTGGAGATGTTCCTTAACTTTTCTCTGTGTCTCTTTGTCTCTTTCTCATACTTCATGTCTCCTTTATCAAATGACCAAAAAAAGAAAAGAAAAAAAAAAAGAAACATATTTCAGCAAGGGAATGCTCCACGTGGGTTGATAAGAATGAATTTCAACTTGTGTATTTCCAAATGGATCCTTGTGACTTGTGGCCAATGGAAATGGTGGTTCTTATTGAGAGGAGATCGGGGAACCAAACCTGCTTGGTTTCATTAGTGATTCCTTGGCCCTTAGCATCTGGGTCTCTGGCATCCTCTGAAGAGGCTGCCTTTGTAGCCTGAGATTTCAACACTGGTCAGCCAGGTGTAGTCACATGCACCCTCTGTCTCCTGGTGACCTGAGGAAGATGTCATAATGTTAAAAAGGCAAGAACTTCCTTCCAAGGACTTCTGATAAATGTCTCATACCAGATAATGTCACACCAGAGAGAAATGCTTGTTTTTAAAACATTATTTACATACATACATAAATACATGTGTGTATCTATATATGTATCAAAATTTTAAGCCCTACAGAATTTCAGTTTGTTAAAAATCTGAAAGAAAAAAAAGTCCTGCAAATTGAAAGGTAATGGAATTTGACCTATGAGTTTCCTCAAGCATTTTAAAAACTTACTATAATAATTTCAGGGAAAATAACCGTTTGGTCTTGGCTATAGTTTAGGATGCATTTCCTTCATCCAGGAAAAATTTGGGGCATGCCTCAGCCATCAGTTATGAAAGGGGCAGTTGAATGGATGGTTCTAAATCAAAACTCACATTCTCGAGGCAACAGAAATCCAAAGGCTATTGAGTGGAAAAATACCCTTCTCTATTCCTTTAGGCTTGCTTTACTTTTGTTTTCAATGCGATTTTAATACTGGGGATATAATTATTTCATTCTAGGAAATTTTTCTTTTTTAAAGGGAAACAGCAACAACAATAAAAAAATTCAACCCTGACATTAAAGGCTTTTCCAGAACGTAAAATAGTGTATAGGTGGTACCACTTAAAGGTACAGGTGAGAATGAGTCGTGAAGGACCCAGGTTGATGCTTTCTCCGTAGAGATTAGAGTACTGCCTCTGTAGCATCTCTTTTCCCACAGGTTCTTGGCAATTGTGGGTTTAGGAAATTCAAGCTAATTTTCATTTCTAGCTAAAATAAAACAAAAATTAGCACAGTAGCTCTGATACACACACATATATCTACATGCATTTTTGTAAGTCAAAGCCAATGTATTTCAAAGCCAAATATAATTTACCTTTTATATGATCTCTGCTGGGTACCTATCTATTAGTGCCAATAAATTAAAGTTGAACAGATTTTTAAAAATCGTTACCACCTGGATTCAAGGGTGGACGCTTCCCCACTTTTGAAAATGCTGGTAGAATTACAGAAGTGTTGGTATGATCACCATTAAGCAGTGGCATGACAACATCCTTTTGTGGTAAACTCTAATTTTCAGAAAGTTGTATAGGAGGAGTTTTTAGAACAGGCCGGGTTCCAATGTTATTGAATAATAATGGACTCTATGAAAAAGTAGAGGGGAAAAAAATGATACACGTGGTTCAGGATGACCCCAAGGCCCAGACACAAGCACTGTGAAGATAACTGTCACGATTCCTAACAGATCAGAGCTGATTTTTTGTTGTTGTTGCTGCTGCTGTTGTGTGAGTCAGACTTGGGGGCCTAAGCAGGAAGAGTGAGTGAGAAATGGTGGACGGAGAAGGGACAGAGTTGGTGCCTATAACTTTCCGATGTTTACCTATAAGACTGGATAGCTTAATAATTTTGTACCTTTAAGTCCAGGTCACCTCTAAAACAGCAGGAGATTCTAGTTATTAAATACGGCTACAAAATCCTTACTAAAGGAAGAAGGGGCGCCTGAATTTGTTGTATAAATATCCTAAGTTAGTGACATTGGCTTTAAATATGGATGTCTCTGCCTATTTTCTACCCATGATTTGTTTCCTTCTAAGGGCCAGGGGAAGGGAGGGTTTGTTTGTTTTAGAAAGTCTCAGAATGCATTATAAATACAATAATAATTATTAAAATATAGGGCTTCACATAGGTAGACACAAAGCTTATAACTGAGGCTGATGAGTTATTTGCATGGATCCCACAGGGACTGGAGATGCTCATTGTTCTTAGATACCGAAATGACTCTGACAGTCTGAGGCAAGTTAAAACTAGAGCCCAAGTTTTCCTTATCTTTCCTTATGGGTTTTTGAGTTTGATGACTGGAATTAACCAGCTAATACCTTTCTAGTAGAGAAAATGTGTATAGGAAAAAATACATCGCTACATGTTTGTTCATTCCATGGAAGTCTACCACTCTGCTCCATTTTTAGCAACAGGCATTTCGAATAGCATAAACCTTGGTAGATACACTTGCCTAAAGTTTATACAGTCTGTCAGCTTGAGTGTACACAGATTTAGATGCATCTTTCGACATGTATTCTCATAGGTGTCCTTAAAACAACACACACTATCTACGTGTGTCGAGACTGCACAGACATCTCCATACATACACACTGTCATCTGTTACAATAAATTTTAAATGATCGTTTAACACGTATGTGGTACTTCTGCAATGTACAATGTTTTCATTATTTATTGTAACATTGAAAACTAAAGTGCAGGAAAGGAAAAGTATCCCAGCACCTTCCTTGCGAACACTTGGAATTACTTTCATTTGGGCACATCCAAGATAAACTCAACTTTCAAGAAAACCTTGGATATTATTTAATCATCTGTGTAAGAATGATACATATGCTTGATGACTTCGGTTGAATAGCTTTATTCTGGATCTCTCATCACTAAAGCTAAATCCAAAGACCTGAAAAGGGACAAAAAGAAAAAAAAAAGAAAAAGAAGGAAAAAACTGATAGGGAAAAAGTGGGCTCTGGCTTCCAGGGGTGACACCATGGTCACATGGTATTGTGGGGGCTGCGCTAGCTAGAAGGGGGAAGTGGTGATTTATTTCTCATGCTTCTCTCATCAAAATGGTCTTTGTGAATGAGAAAGTTTTAGAGGTTCTAATTCCTGTTTTACTTTCATTTAACCTCATCGAGAGAGGTTATACATTTTGTCCATCAAAAAAAGAAGACAGCCAAAAGAAACACTTTTTTTTTTCCTTGCCTTTTTTGGGTTTTGACGCAACAAGCTGAGTACCATTAATGTAATTAATTTATTTATATTAGTTTCTAGTACAGAAATGTATAGGATTTTGGAAATTGTTTAATCGTCCTTCCTTAGTTTGATTTTACTCCTCGTGCTTATTTATCAAAATCTAGACCAGTGGAGCATCGGAGATGCAAGATCACTTTTAGAATTCTCTTGAAGGTTAGTTTGCTTTATAAAGCAGTGAAATTCTGTTACAGACAGGGAAGAAATACAAGTTACAAAATAAAAAAAATTGAGGTATGTTTCCTTCTTGAATTAACTTTGAAAATAGTTTAAATAACAATTATTAAATTATTTAAGTTCGCAGCCCCACCTGGTACCAGGCGAACTTCACCTACTAATTATTGGGGCCCGCAGAGCCTTCGTAGTGTAACTTATTTATTTAACTTATTCAGCATCTGCGAAAGGTGCACTGTATAGTTTATATTTTTTATTTAAAACGACAGAGAGCACTACAGTTGGTTCGCTGTCAGAACGACAGAGCAAAGTTGGTGGACAAGCAATGACTATTCAACCCAAGCGTGTACATTCAGAAAACATGAGCCGAGACCCTGCTTCACGAGCCTGGATTTCGGGGCTTCTATACAGAGACTGGAAAAAATACATTTTAAAAAATCGTAACAGCAAAAAGAGAGAAACCCTTAACACTAGCTGCTTCCAAGAATGAACTCTGTGTGTGTAAGACAACAAAACAAAAAAAGAGGAAAAAAAAAAGCAGAAAAAAGGAAAAACTTTCTATTTCTAGTGAGAACCAAAGAAGGCTACCTCACTGACTTTTTCCATTTGTAATTTTAATCGTGTTGATGACACCAAAGATACCAAAGATTTCTTTCTCTGTGCGGTCTGCATTTTGCTTGTGCTCTTTTATGATTTTAACTATTCTCTCTGACATATGGTATGTACAGCCACAGCTCAGATATCCCAAAGAAAGAATTATCTATGCGACAGCGGCTGCTAATTTGGAAAGGGATATTTTCTGTGTTTCTCATTTATTCGCTGTCCCCACCGCAAGTTTAGATGCTGCTAATTTGGATTGCATTCCTTAAATTCCAGTTCCAAATGGGTGAAGAAGACTGGTTGGAAGTGGCCTTCTATCCTAGCCATGACCTTGTCCCTGCTTTGGAGCCACCACAGTAAATATGTCCAGTACTGGACCATAGAAAATCTAATCAGCTGGGAGGGACCTTAGAAATTTAGTCCAATTTAGCCTGGAGCAGTGAAATAGCTGAGATTAATAGCTGTATAGAGGCAAAGCCCAGCCAGGCCTCCTGCCTCCCGCTCCAGTGCTATACCCATTACTCAGAGCTACCTCTGCCAGAGATGGGCCACACGTTGGCAAAGAGGAAGGTGGCAATCCTTAACATCTTCAGTCGGTAGAAACAGTCACAGGCATTTATTTCAGTGTCTGTCTAGTTAGAACCTCAGCAGAAAGTCACATGTGGTCAGTTACTTGTAAAGGTGGCCAGCCTTGAAATATTAGGGCCCATAGAAAGGTTTTTGCCCCAAAAGTACACATTGATTCAGTGAGATCACGGTTGGGGCTCCCCATTACAAAGTGTCATATATATATATATACACTTTTCATTCAGTGGGGAGAAAGTTCGTTCTTGGTCTGATGACTTTAACGGTTATGGATATTTCAGGTCAGTATCAGAGAAAGGAAATTTGATCACTCTTTGCACATGTGACATTTAAGCTGTTTAGCTTTTTACTTTTTCTCTTGACCTGTAGGTGTTTGTATTTTGTTTCTAGGTCAACTCAGTATTTATGAGAGAAGATTAAACCTTACATCATTTGGATGCTAAAGGATTGTCGTAAATGAAAGATGACCCCAAAATTTCCAGAGGAATAGATAGGCCAGATTAAGAAATGATTTAAGTTACTTCTCTCTTCCCTTCTTACTCATGAAATTAATTGGTCTTCTTTAGATTTCAGTAAATGGTTAAATCACTATTCAGATCCATTCATCAGAGTGATTTACTTGTTAGCCAATGAGTCATTCTCAGCTTTTGACTAGATGGGGTTTAGACACATGCAAAGATCTCCCTGTCATCTGTATACCTCTATATCGCGTACTGGCATTTTGCATTTCACGTGATATAGTTATCTTTGAGCTTTTTAAGAGACCATTTAGGTATAGAAGCTAAGAAGGGAAAAGACCAATCAACACAT